AGAGAGAAACCTCCTGGTGCTCCCTCTGCCAGAGAGTGCACTTAGGACTTGTCACCAAGATCTGTTTCAGGAAAATGCCATCACAGATCGCATTATGGTCTGAGGGTTAAGAAGGGACTTGCTTTTCCGATTGCTCAAGATCTTCAGAGCTTTTTTTGCCTCATGTGTTTGCTTCCGCACTTTGGCTTACAAACAGTTCCAGGCTTTCAGGTGTGCCCACAGTGCTCTGTCAGACCTGAGAGTAACCGGTACACCCTCATACCTTTCATCATTGTCATTATCACCACCACAGAGTACAAAAAATTAAGAAAATTATATATTATGCTTTCTTCCTGTTCTGTGCTCTATAATCCACTCCTTCTTTGGCACAGGAAAAACAAAGTAGCTAGACTGTCTGCTCACTCTCTACAAGGGAGCAGACGCTCCAAGGGGTCACCTTCCCTCCCAACACATACCAGGCAAATAAAAACGCGGGGTGGGTGGGTTGCCAGATCCCTGGCTCCATCCAGTGTAAACCGTCAGTGCTTTAAAGTCACGTAGCCCTCACTGTGCAAGGGCTCCAATTCAATGCGAAACTCCAGGGTCTCCCGGGGGGGGTTGTTGGCCTCAGGTGACACAAGTTGTCAGAAGTGTTTTGTTTGGAGTCACTTTCTGCAGCACTCTTTCTGGACGCCAGTTGTGACTTCTGCCCAACAAAAGAAGCCTGGGGTGACAGAGATCCCGCCCCCTCCTCTGGAGGGTCGTGTGAGCGTCCCAGAGGCCGGCTCTGAGAGGCTCCCTTCTCAGGCCATGGCACAGGGAGGTTCGCTGGGGAGGAGGCAGCTTGTTCCAAGCTTCCCCTCAAGAGTGAAGTGAAGGACAAGGGCTGGACCCAGATCTCTTTGGGAAAACAAACACGGCAGAAGAGGAAGGGCAGAGTTTCCTTCTGAGCATCCAGGGTGGGAGGCGCTCACGGTTCCATCACCTGTCCCATGAAAAGGATGGCACCTGCAACAGGGAAAGCAGAGGGGAATATCTCCCGTCAGCACGGGCTCTGGGTGGAAAATCAAGGGCTGCAACAGGACTCACTTCTCCTCTTGCAGGGAAAAATGAGGCAAGGCCACCCCAAAGCCAGCCACAAGGGGGCACCAAACAGCTGCACAAACCTGCACAAAACCCGCCTTGGCCTTTCCAGCCAGCAGGGGTCAGTGTAGGGCTTGAGATGCACCAGAGGAACCGCCGCCGCCCTCCATGACGCCTCCACTAAGCAAAAGGCAAAGGAGGAGCCTTGGCTACAGAGGGCAGGCCGGAAGCCCATCTCCTCGCTCTCTCTCCCCAAGTCACGGCCAGGACTCGCACCTGGCCAGAAGCGATGGGCCCACCTCCTGGTTCCAGCCTTGAGCCCGGTTCTGGGTCTGCAGGAGACCCTAAATGCTGAAAGGCTGAGACCTGACCGGGGAAAGAGGTTGGGCAGGAAAGCCCTGGAGGCTCCCACGGAGGCAACTGTTCCAGAAGCAAAAGGGGAATCCTTGGGCCCTTTTGCTGGAGAGTCATGGGGTCTGAGCACGGCACCTGGACGCTCAGGGGGCAGCCCCCACCCCCACCCCCCACCCGGGATGCTCTTACCTGTGGGGTTGTGCCGCACAACAAACAGGAAGGGCCTGTCCATCACGATCTCCAAGGGGGCCATCCGGGAATAGATGATTGCAGCTGGAAGGAGAGGAGCAAGAGCAGTGGGAAGGGGTGTCAGGTTTGGGCCCCAGGTGGGCCAGGCCAGTCACAGCAGCCTCAAAATTGCCCCGTGGATGAACGGGCAGAACCGCCGAGATGCAAGGCCTCAGGGCTCGCCCGGGGCTCAAGCCCTGCTGCTCCCCAGTGGAGTGGCTCCTTCCCACCCTCTTCTCGGGCGGGCGGGCAGTCAGTCAGTCAGGCGGAATAAGGGATTTCTCTCCTCCAGACACTCTTGTGAGGGACGTGGCTCCGCAAAGGGGCCAGGCATGGGGCAAGAGCCGTGCCGAACAGGAAGGGCCAGGAGGGGAAA